TACAGACGACGTGAAACGTGTAAGGAAGAACAGACTCATCCAGGAGTATGAGATGTTCAGAATGCAACCTGGAGAAATAATATCTGATGTTCAGAAGCGTTTCACTCACATTGTGAACCACCTGACAGGTTTGGGTAAGACTTTTGACACTGATGAATTGAAGGTGAAAATATTGGAATCATTAGATAGGTCTTGGCAACCAAAGGTGACTGCCATCTCGGAGTCTCAAAACGTCACTCAGATGTCAATGGTGATTCTCTTTGGAAAGCTTCGTGAGCATGAGCTTGAGCTGAGAAGATTAACTGGAGAAGAGGATCAAGGCAAAAGAAAGATGCTTGCCTTCAAGTCTGAAATCTCAAAAGGAAAAAGTTCTAAAAGAATTGAGGACGATGATTCCGATGACGATGAGGAAAACATGAGTCTTATGATTAAGAAGTTTGTCAAATTCATGAAAGCAAAGGGAAAAGACAAATACCGTGGAGAAAGGAAAGATAATCAAGGATCTCCATCAAGCGTTAAATGTTATGGATGTGGAGAAAGGGGACATGTGAAGACTGACTGTCCTAAGAATAGGAAAAGTGAAGAAAAGAAAGAAAGAAAGTTTTCAAAGAAGAAGAAAGCTTACATAGCTTGGGAAGAGAATGTTCCTAGTTCTTCATGCTCAAACGATTCGGATGAAGAAGCAAATTTGTGCTTAATGACAGACTTAGAAGATGCAGGAAGCCAAGTAAGTGATTCTAGCTTAGAGTCAAGTGATGAATTTGATTTACATCCCCAGGTTATTACCGCGGTTGTAACCGCGGCCTAAAGTCTCAAACTTTTTACCTCGCCCGTATATGTCGCTGTTCTAAAACCGCGACGTATATTAAAAAACAACCGCAGTCGTTTCCCTTTGCTGCACTAGTGATATTGATAATTTGTCTTCCTCAATGTTTTATGAGAAAAATAAATTGTATGATAATCTCGAAATATTTTCAATTTGTCTTAAATCTAGTGTGATTTTGAAATTTGTAGGAAGTTAAGAAGGAATAAGTGTGGATGGAGATAAGGTAAAGACAATTAGGGAGCGACCTATACCTAATCATGCAAATGAGGTAATAATAATAGTAGTAGAAATTTTCTTATTTTATGACACTAGTGCAGTAAGACTAAATGGCACCGGTTGCTTTTCTTTATAGGCACCGGTTCTACAACCGGTGCATAATCAAACGAGGTAAAAAGTGTACATTTTATGCCTCGGTTATGAACCGTTACGTAAAGGATACGATTACGCCTCGTTTCATTTGTAACCGATGTCGTAAGTTTTTTTTTTTATTAATCCTGCTACACTCTTCCACCGTTTCGAAACCAATCACAGAAGCATAAACAGAACCCTCATTATTTTTGTAACATGTTTCATCTGCAAAAGAGACCAAAAAACCCAATTCAGAACAAGATCAAAGCTAGATGATGAATCTATGTTCCCCCTCCTTTGTGGTCCAAGAGTCCATAACTGAAAAATTGAACAACAAAAATATGCATGTTAGAAGATCAAGAACGAGATTGACAGTGGAGGGTTTTATTTGAAAATGGTGTTTCCAATGTCTCTGGATCCAAAAAGAACACCAAGACAAGATCCAAAAAAATTTCACTTACCAAGCCACAGGACCACTGCTGCGATGACCAGGACCGTGGGAGCGTGGGAGCAACTGCGGCAACAGAGACAACGTGCCACGGCGGTGCAGCAAGAACCCAACGGGGAGGCAGCGGCAGCAGGAAGACCACGCGACGATGGCGGCAGTGGCAGTGACGTTGTGGACGCAGCGGGGAGGCAGCGGTGGTGACATTATGGACGCAGCGGGGAGGCAGCGGCGGTGACGTTGTGGAGCGGATCTGAAGCGGATCTGGAGCGGCTTGGCGATTTGGGCTTGGCGATCTGGAGCGGTGGATCTGGAGGAGGCAGCGGCGGCAGCAGCGGCGGAGGCTACAGCGGAGGGGAAGAGGGAGAGCGCGGAGGGGAAGAGGGAGAGCGCGGAGGGGAAGAGAGAGAGCCCGAGAAAGAAGCAGTGGCTGTGCAAATGTACAAATGTGCAGATTAAAAAATCAGAACATGAATAGGCAACGGTCGTCTGTCAACCCGAGGCAATAGGGTCTTTTCAGAGAAAAAGTGTGCAGATATAGGTTTCGGGTCTTATTTAACCGAGGCAATATCACCGTATAGATTTCAGGTCTTCTTTTAACCGAGGCAATATCACCATTCTACCTCGGGTCTAGATATAACCGAGGTATATAGTTTTTTACGCTTCGAGTTTTACTTAACCGAAGCGTATATGGCGCGTTAAATTGCACTTTTTTTTACTAGTGTGATCAGAGGTTAGATGTGTAAATGTCATTATGCATATATATTCAATTTCTATATATGAAATAGTTATTAAGATGATACACGATGGATGCTAAAGTACAAAATATTGCTACAACCAAGCCTCATTTTCAAGATAGAATGCAAAAGCTAAAGATATTCATATTAACTTAAGAATAAAATTACAAATAGATTATACAATTATGACTATCTAATCATTAAGCATCATCATAAAGTGATTTTACAAGTATTTTACATTAGAAACTTCAACCTTCTAATCTTGCACTTCTTGCACTTCGAGCAATCTATAACGCTTTCATTTCAGAATGGAGTCTTGAAGAAAATCGATTTCAAGTGCAAATTCTGTGCTAAAATTCATAAGACAAAGTTAGTAACGATGAAAAAAAAATGGAAGACCAAATTTAAGTGGTCAACTAAATTAAAACAAAAATATAGAAACTCCCTAGAGTACAAAAACGTGTATAACATTTGAGCATTTTAAAATGGTCTAAGCATAATTCATCTGAAAACAAGAAAAATTCTAAAAACAGAGCACACTGTCTACAATTTCTTTACGCTAGCAAAAACATTTGTTTCCTGGAAAAGAGACTACCGTTAGCAAAGCCATGAATAGGAAAATAGGATATAATCAATGTCTAATTAGATTGATGAAATCCAATGTGTTTGTGAGAGAAAGAGACACATACTAATTGAAGTACTTTTGAATCTACTATTACCAAGGATAAAGAACTAAATAAGCAAATTCTAACAATTACATTCATACCAAGTCAACGTGTACATTTGTTTTAAGAAAGGCATTTTGCATTTCAATGTTAAAACTAGTTACTGATTTACTTAATCGAAGGAGAGAAATAAATACGATGAAATTCAAAGAAAGAAGTTGTTAGAATTGTGTACCTCTTAGTCTTTTAGTTACTTTTGGCATTTTGCTATGTTCACTTCAACCATTAGAAATAGACAGTCTATCAGTCTGTTCAAGAATCTCAAGTAAGCAATTCTCCATGGTTTGCAAAGTAGCAATGGCCCTAATAAGCCCCAAAAGCCTAAGAAATATCCTATCCCCAAGCTCATGTACAATGCCTCATAGGAAAGAAAACCTTCTCCATGGACTGCTGCCTCTTGAGACTTTACTGTTGTCTGATTTCCAGCACAACTCTTGTTAAGTTGTTCACCACAAAGATCAATATTTCTTTCAAAACAAGACCCATCAAATGTATCCATGTGTCTTCCCAATGGGATTCTTCCAGAAAGAGAGTTGTGGGACAAGTCTAATTTTTCCAGAAAATCTATTTGAGAAATTGAAGAAGGAATTCTCCCATGGAATTGATTTCTTGATAAGTCAAGGGATTCAAGTGAACGTAAATTTCCAATCTCGGAAGGAATTTCTCCACTAAAACTGTTTCTTGATAAATTCAAAGAAACTAATCCGAGCATATATGTAATCTCTCTAGGCATTGTACCTGTTAAATTGTTGCACGAGAGATCAATGCTATGAAGAGTCAATTCGGGATTTGCGAAGTTGCGTTCCACACCTTTCCACATCCATGTTATGCGAAACGTATAATAACTATAACTGGAAATGCTATAAATTTCATAGTAAGTATTATTGTACCAATGCACACGATTCTCAGTTTCAATTTTGTTGATGTTGCTTCCAGAAAATGCAGTAAAATTATTTAAGCAAGTTGGAATTCCTCCTGATAAGTTATTTCTTGAAAGATCAAACAATTGAATACGTTTCAAATAACATAGAGGAAGGGTAAGATTTTCAGAGAAGTGATTCCCTCGCATGATTAAGATTATCAGTTGCTGCATGCTTTCTCCAAGCCATGATGGTATTGGACCAAACAACATATTCTCACTCACATCCAGCATAATTAAGTTGTTGCAATTCTTCAAAGAGGAAGGCAATTCACCCATTAAACTATTGTTTCGTAAAACCAAAGCTTCCAATTTAACAAGGCTGCCCATGGATATAGAAATCTTTCCTGTCAATTTGTTGTTGCTTAAATCAAGAAACAATAATCGATCAACAGATTTCCAACAATCTGGAAGTAGACCATTTATTTGATTATCTGATAAATCTAAAGTGGCCAAGTTTGCAGCTGTGACGTTTCCACATAAGAATGAAAATAAATCTGAAAAATTATTTGAAGAGAGTAACAGCTCGGAAGCATGTAGAAAAAATAATGGAACTTTTCCCTCAAATTTATTTGAATTTAAATTTATTGATGGTCTGGAAGGAAGCTTCAATTGAAAATTAGGAATTGAACCAAAGAGATTATTATGAGACATATTCAACACGTATATAGTCTGCAACTTATTCCAAAACCATTATGGCACGAAATCACTTATACCACTATCAGATATATCAAGAAAGATTAACGAACTTTGAGTTTGGAGCCAGTTTGGAAAAGCCTTACCAAGCTTGCAAGAAGCTAGAGCCAAGTAAGTTAATCGAAAAGGGGGAATCCAACTAGAGACAAATTTTAGAGACAACGAATTGTATGAAAGTGATAACAAATATAATTTGGAAAAATTAGAAAGATGAGATTCAGTGACATCACCTTCTAAAGAATTCCCATCTAACAATAAAGTCTCCAACTCAGATAGTAATCTGATGCTCTCGGGTATCTTGCCAGTAATTTAGTTATAAGATAACTCCAATAACATAAATATGAGTCTACTGCACCATGAAGAATTTTGAATGAAGCACGGAAATTCACCATTCAACTTGTTATATGAGAGGTCTAATAACTGTAACCTGCACATGCTCCCAAATAAAGATGGAACCTTTCCTTGTAGTTTGTTATTAGAGAGATAAAGATATTCAAGAGAGTTCATCGATTTCCCAAATTCATCTGGAATGGAACCTTCCAAGAAATTATAATCAAGGTGAAGTGTACGAAGATTGGTAGTGAAATTAGAAAGCCAGTGAAATATAGAGTATGATCTCAACAAGTTATTGGAGAGATCAATGTGGAGAAGAGAGGACAAAGAATTCATTGTGGAAGTAGATGAAATAAGGAAACTGCTATCTATAAGACCGCTGCTTCGTAGATGAAGCTCTTGCAGTTTGGAGCTGATATTAAAATTACCTAGAAACATTGATGATGCTAGTCTAACATAAGAGAGGTCAAGGATCTTAAGAGATGGAAAATTTAGACACAGAGAAGGTGACAAAGAAATACTATTTTGAGGAAGATAAAGCTCTCGAAGATGAAGGCTAATGTTAAACAGGAGTTGAAGTGTTGATGATGTCAACATATTAGAAGAGAGGTCTAGAAGAGCAAGAGAAAGGGAGTAGTTGGAAGAATGAGAGTGAAACAAAGATTGAATATCATTATCTACAAGATTACAATCAACTAGCCTCAGCTCCCTTAAGTTTTGAAGGATCTTACTGATAGTTTGTAGCCACTGGCGAGAGGAGCCAAGATTATGCAATGAAGTGAGTTCAAGAACGGTCAAGGAATGGAGAGAAGATAACCACTGTGCATCCTTAGATTTTATATCAAAATTGCCACCCAGCCGAAGAGTATGCAAAAATGGAAGATTCCCAATGTGAAAAGGGATTGCTCCGGAAAGAGAATTTGAAACATTGTGTACCATATTCCTTCCATAATTACATCCAAGACTGAGATATTGTAGCTTGCTGAGATTCACAATTTGAGATGGGATTTTTCCGGAAAGAAAAAAGCCTCCAAGATCGAGATACTGTAACAGTTTGAGATTCCCAATTTGAATAGGAATTTCTCCCCAAAGATAATTGTCCCTAAGATTTAGATAGCGTAGTTGTGAAAGATTACCAATTTTGGAAGGAATCCTCCCCGCAAAGTCAGAATTGGAGAGACCGAGGTATCTTAAGTTGGCCAAGCCCATGAAGTCTGGGATGTAAATCCCAAAAAACAAATTATGGCTGAGATCTAGATGTTCAATATATTGCAAGCGGATCAATGAAGTGACATTGATTTCACCTCTCAACCAGTAATTGCTGTTTCCATGAAGATCAAGCCGAACTACATGAGCAGTACGATGGTTGCATTGAATGCGTTTCCATTTGCAGCAATCTGTAGTATTGTGATGATTGGTCCAAGTGGACAGCATGCCAAAGTCATCTATGAGACCTTCTTTGAAGCTGAGGAGTGCTTGCCTCTCCCTCTCTATGCAATTTGCTTCACCATTTTCGCTTGAGTTTTTCAATGTCACAGTACTTCCTGAGGCAAGCAAAGAAAGCAAGACAACAATATAAAATGTTTTCAGAAAATAAAATCTCATTATAGTTTTTCAGTTCTTTTCTCTTTGACCTGTGATGTTTATAATGCTCCATGGCTTCCATGGCTTCATTTATATCCATAATTGTACGGACGGGTGGTGGCTTTCTAAAGATCAGTAAAAGAGAGATGGTCTCGAAAATTGATTTCATAAAATTAAAGAAATAATAGAAAAAACAGAGTTCAAAGATATGGAAAGTAATTATTGTTTTAGCACAGTTGACTGCTTCAACTTACTTTTATAATACTTTAACATTTAGTTTTTTTTTATATTAATTAGATCTATAGTATACGCATTACATACAATTATTTATTTTGATCTAACTAAAATTTGCAATAAACAAATATTTTTCATTGTATTGATTTAGAACAAACAATCTAAATTGTCATATAAAATGATTTCAAATAGTTTACATTTTTTGAATATTAAAATTAAATTTGATGAGTGAAAGAGATCGTGATTAAACGGAGCAGATAAAGAGAAAGATAAAATTAAGGAAGATTAGTTTAATATAAGTTACCATAAAATTTTTGAAATGTCATTTTATTTAAAACAAACAAAGAATTGAATTAATCTGAAATTAATTTAATTTCTATAATATATATATATATATATATATATATATATATTCATTGACGTATTAATGCAACTTATTTTGATATGAATTAACAAAATATAAAAAAAATATTATATGATTGATGTTGACATTTATGTTTACTGTTTCATAACTTCGAGCAAAATAAATAAATAAAAGAAAAAACTATGGAGATCAATAAAAACAAATTCACTTCAAAATATTGATGTATAATTTAAAAAAACAATATAGAAAAAAAGGAAAATTAATATTAAGAATGCCTATATAAGAGTAAATATGACACATTTAGTAAGTGGCCAACATATTTTGACCCGGCTAATGTTCACACAATTTTATAGTTTTTTTTCTATAATTTATTTACTTCACGAAAAAGTATATGAGATGTCTATTTTTTCTATAAAAAATCTATTCAGTACAAAAATTTAAACTAAAGTCAATTTAATATAACCTTAAGAATATATATATATATATATATATATATATATATATTATACTATATAAATATTCGTCTATGCTTATATTATTATTGATTGTTGTTGACATGTTTAGTCTTTTCTCAATTTTCTAACTTACTTTACAAAGTGGAAACTATGGAAATCAATCACATCAGAAGTAAATAAATTTTAATTAAAAAGAGACTTAAGACAGAGAAAATATTATTAAAAGTTGAATAGTAATGAGAACGAGAGTTTCAAATTCTAAATTTTGAATTCTATTAGAAGAGTGAACACGACATATTTAGCACGTCTCCGGAGCATCATTAAATAAAATTTTTCTTATAATATATATTTATACATATTTGTAATTTTTATGCATAAATACTAATTTTAGTTTTTACTTTTATTCATTTTATTTAATATAATTTTAATTTATTTAATTTGATTTTAATTTTTATTAATTTTATTTAATTTGAAATATTTTATTAATTTCATTTAAATAATTAATAGATTTTGACATATGTTAGTTCGTAGATTTTTTCATCATTTTAATTTAAAAAATATTCAATATCAAATTATAATACGTGTTATTGACTAGATCAATGTTTCATATTTATTTTAGTTTTGATTTTTTTTTCACTTTGATTCTATTATTTAAAAAAAATAGAATAATTTTATCATTCTCAACAAATTTAATTTTTAGATAAATGTTATACTAATATTTTTATTTAAGTTAACCTCTTTATTAAATATTCTTAATTTAGTTTGAGTTTATTTAAAATTTGAATTAAAGTTTTAAATATGAGGATTAATTTTAAAACTTCAAAAGGTTAAAAGTTACATGTGATATTTAAAATTCTAAGAGATTAAAAATTAAGAAGTAAGATTATTATTTTATGTGATTTTTAACCCCTTAAAATTTTAAATAAATGATATTAGTTCTTATTCTTAAAATTTTCGTTATAATTTTAAATCATCTCTAATCTTAAAAAAAACTTAATAGAAATGTAAATTTTTTAAAAAGTATTATTTTAACATTTATATAAAAATTAAATTTGATTTCAATATATAAATTAAATTTGATTTAAATTTAGAGAGGATAGAATTATTCTATTTAAAAAATTAAAATAAAATTGAAAAAAAATAACGAATAAAAAAACTGAATATAAAACAATAATATTGCTTTTTGGACACGAAATACTTGAACAAAATTTATAAAAATCGAAACGAAGAAATGATTAAATTAAATAAACTCAACGAAGTTTGAAACCAAATTAATATTTAGGCCTAATTTTTATCTAGATTTATTTATTTAAACAAAAAGATATTTATTTAAAACTCCAAAGAAGTAAATTAAACTTAATTTAAATTAATTTTTGGAGTATATATTAATTCATTTATGAAACCGTAGGTTACTACAAATATACAAAACAAAGTAATACCATGTCATGTATTCATCAATGTTGACATGGATTTTGTTGTTTTCTCATTTTTCTAACTTACTTTAAAAGATAGAAAATTAGGAAATCAATCACATCGGAAATAAACAAATAAATTTTTCTTAAAAAGAAAATAACATTAAAATTATTATCGCAATAAGAATCTCAATTTCTAAATTTTGAATTATGATTTATCAATAAGAGTAAACATGAAAAAAAAAAAAAAATATAGAAAAAGCCTGCAAAGATCAGTTAGATGACTAATAAGAAAAGAGTAAGAAAAAACAGGTAGAACAGTCAATGATTTAAAAAAAAAAAAATCCCAACAATCTCTGTCTATATATAGAAGGTTTCTTTTTAAAGGGTTTTTACAATATCATAGTTTCAAACACACTTACTAAACATATATACAAACTTTTTTATCTTCTCTCTCACGTTACCCTTTCTAGATTTTTAGTTGAATAACCGAAAAAGATCTAATTGTTCTATAAATTTTTGTTTCATCCTCGTTACCACCAAGTAACGGATATATACTTATACTTCTACTTTCTTACTATTTCAATATTAATTAATTNTTTATTTAAACAAAAAGATATTTATTTAAAACTCCAAAGAAGTAAATTAAACTTAATTTAAATTAATTTTTGGAGTATATATTAATTCATTTATGAAACCGTAGGTTACTACAAATATACAAAACAAAGTAATACCATGTCATGTATTCATCAATGTTGACATGGATTTTGTTGTTTTCTCATTTTTCTAACTTACTTTAAAAGATAGAAAATTAGGAAATCAATCACATCGGAAATAAACAAATAAATTTTTCTTAAAAAGAAAATAACATTAAAATTATTATCGCAATAAGAATCTCAATTTCTAAATTTTGAATTATGATTTATCAATAAGAGTAAACATGAAAAAAAAAAAATATAGAAAAAGCCTGCAAAGATCAGTTAGATGACTAATAAGAAAAGAGTAAGAAAAAACAGGTAGAACAGTCAATGATTTAAAAAAAAAAAAATCCCAACAATCTCTGTCTATATATAGAAGGTTTCTTTTTAAAGGGTTTTTACAATATCATAGTTTCAAACACACTTACTAAACATATATACAAACTTTTTTATCTTCTCTCTCACGTTACCCTTTCTAGATTTTTAGTTGAATAACCGAAAAAGATCTAATTGTTCTATAAATTTTTGTTTCATCCTCGTTACCACCAAGTAACGGATATATACTTATACTTCTACTTTCTTACTATTTCAATATTAATTAATTATTTTCTTTAAAAATAAAATATTTTGATAAAAAAAATAATATTATCAAATATTCAATATCAAAATAAAAGTATATTATTCTTTTTTCAATATCAAATATTTAAAATAAATTATAATTGTATACATTTACCAAATAAAGTTTAATATAACTAAAACATTTATTAAATTTGCAAATGTTAATGAAATATAGTTGATAAAATTTAAAAATATTTTAAATAAAATATAAAAAGAAAACAAATATTCAAATTAACAAATATTTTAAATGTTTCTTTGCTTCAATTTTTAAATTATAATAAAATTTCTTTTTTCATACACTAAAACAAATTATAATACAACACTTGATCAATATCACAAAAAAAAAAGAAAGATTAAACTAATAATAATTGAAATTAACATAAATCTATCATCTTTTAAACTTCAATATATATTAGATGGTGATAAAAAAGATTCACGGTAATTATATTAAATTATTATATTATAGTAAATATAATTTATTTATGCAAATTACTTATGAAAATGAATTAAGAAATAAAAATAATTAAAAAAATAATATCAAAACAATATTCTATATTATAAAAATAAATAACAAATAAAAACTATTTAAAAAATGATCAAATGTGTGTTCTAGAAAGAATTTGATAGACCATTAAATGAAATTGTAGAAAGAAAATTAAATGTATAATTAAGGATATGATAAAATAAAAATTACCTTAAATATCTAAGAAAATATTTCAAATATGAACCTAGTGGACATTTTAAGATAATTTTTTATATTACCTAATAAATGAAAGGTGTGTTATTGAACACTGAGAGTTAAACATTTTTATATAAATAAAAATATAGAATAAATAAAAATATTAAAAAAATAAAAATATTCAAATGTAAGATGTACAAAATATTTAATTGACATATATCATTAAAACATTATTGTATATAGATTGTAATAAGTAAAAAAATGTATATTGAAAATGTGAAAGAATTACATAACAAGTCTAACCATTACAAGAAAGAATAGAAAGTATGTAATATATATATATATATATATATATATATATATATATATATAATTTATTATAGTATTATAGGTTAAATATGTTTTTCGTCCCTGAAGTATAACTGATTTTTGGTTTTAGTCCCTATTCAAAACTTTGATGGCATTTAGTCCTCATTGTATTGAAACATGTAATATTAGTCCTTAAAAATAGACAGCGTCAAGTTTTTGTTGATCTGGCAAACAGCGAGGCCAGGTCCTCTG